AGCTCTTATAAAATAGTTAGGAGTCAAAGCCTTAGCAATGCTACTGGGGTGCTGAGCTCCCCTAGCCTGCTTTATTTGTCTTTATGCAAAGACCATACCAGTGCAGTGATACCACTTGAATTGAGTTTGCATTTAAGACCTGAACAAGCTAAGATATACTTTGTTTAGAAAGGTAAATATAACCCTACAGAATAAATGGGAGAATCAGCTAATTTCAAAGCATTACAAAAATCCTCTTATAAAAAAAATCACTGTGACATGTTGTTGTGTTTATATGACCCTGTGATTCCAACTAAGTCTACATTTCTTTGTGCCAGTCCTGGGACTTGAACTCAGGGTCTGGGAACTGTGTCTGAGCTTCTTTTCTACAAGGCTAGCACTCTATCACTTGAGCCACAGCACCACTTCAACTTGTTTCAAAGCATTATGGAACTGTTTATTTTCCCCAGACCAAAACAGTGTAACAATGAGATCCTGTTGCACTAATGTTATTTTATTACTTGAACTGAATCTACCTTTAAAAGTTTTCTGAGCTAAAACAGAGTATTTTTTATAGGCAAATATGTCTCTATGGTCTAAATGGAAGAACTGACTAATTTAAAAGCAATACAAAACTGCCCTTATGCCATCATCATGCCAGAGAGACCCTGTTGCCTTCATGTTATTCTACTACTTGAGCTGAACCTACCTTTAAGAGCTCATCCTTGGAAGATGTACTATTTTGTGTTTAGAAGCAACTAGATCCCTATGACCTGAATTTGAGAATTGGCTAATTTCAAAGCATTACTGACCTATTCTTCTATAAGTAGAATACTAGCAAGATCTTTGTGTACTCATTTTGTTCTACTTACATTGAGTCAACCTTTAAGAGTTCATTCAGCTAAGATATGCTGTTTGAAGTTTATATTTACATATGTAACATACTTGAATAAGCAGATGCTTAGCAGTTTCCATGAAAAGAACATACTAGCAAGATACTGCTGCTTTATTATTCTCATGTCAGTGGACTCTATTTAAGAGCTCATTCAGCTATGATGTACCATTTTGTTTACAGAGCAAATAAATCCTTGTGACATACATGGGAGCTGTATCAGTATTGCTGGGGTCTTTATGAGGCCTGTTTCTATGGGGCTGGGGGTCTGTGGGCCATGTCAACAGGATGGACTTTGGCAGGACACTTGGTTTGTAGGACTAGGTCTATGTGGCCAGTGTCTGTCGGGCATACATTTATGGGGTCTGAGTCTCTGGGGTCTGTATCAACAAAATCAAATTCTGTTTGTTCTGAGATTATGTGCATGGATCTGTGCAGCTCATGTCTACATGACTAAGTTTTGTGTAGTCAAGAATATGCACCAGAGCTGGGAAGATGGCTCAGTGGTAAAATGTTTGTCTTGCTCTGTATTTGATCCCTACCACCACATAGGCAGAAAAAGCCAGAAGTGGCACTGTGACTCAAGTGGTAGAGTGCTAGCCTTGAGCTGAATAGTTCAGGGACAGGGCCCAGGGCCAGTGTTCAAGCTCCATGACCGACAAAAAAAGAGTATACACCAATGTCTGTGAGACAGACTCTGCCAAGCAGGGGTATGTAGGGCCTCTGTCTATTTTGTCTGGGTCTGCGGGGCTGAGTGTACTCAGTGGGCATCTTTTTTTTTTTTGGTTTATTTTTTAAATATATGTTTCTTATTGTGAAAATACTGTACTGAGTGGTTACAATTACAAGTAAGGTAATGAGTACATTTCTTATCAAGCATTGTTACCTCCTCCTTTGTTTTTCCCCTACCATCCCTTTCTTCTCACCTCAACAACTACACTCCCCCCCCCCCCCCCATCTAAATTGTAAAGTTTGTTTTTCAACGTAGTGTCTTGTGCATCTCATTGTTACCATGGGTCAACCGGTATCCTTATTTAAGCATTTTGTTTTTTTCCTTTCCCCTCCCCAAATTAGAGAAGTGTATATAGAAGATGGAGGGAACCAACATCAAATACAGTGTAAACAGGGGTTATACCATGGGGGAGAGGCTCTCTGTGCTCAAGGCTACAGCTCTACTACTTGAAGCACAGTACAGCTTCTGTTTTGGAGATAAATGTCTCAGGAACTTTCCTGTCCAGGCTGGCTTTGAACCATAATCCTTAGATCTCAGCCTCCTGAGTAGTTAGGATTCCAGGCATGAGCCACCAATGCCTGGAAATGGCTAATTTTCAAGAAGCTCTAAATGTTTGGAAATGAAACACAAAAAAAGGAGTTTGTAAGGTCCCAGTGGGTCAGGGCTATAATCATATTTGCTCAAGAATCCAGGAACTCAGAAGCTCAGTTCAGAGCCAATTCAGGCAGGAAGGCCTTTGAGTCTCTGACTTCCAATTAACTATCAAGAAAACTGGAAGTGATCTGCAGGAAAAGTAATGGAGCCCTAACCTTTAGCACCCAGTCCTTGAGTTCAAATCCCTGGCCTGAAAAACACATTTTATTAAAATGAAGTTTTATTTGCAACATAGGTTCAATTCCAATATAGGTCTTGTGACTCTCATTGTTGAAATGGGTCATCCTGTGACCTTGTTTCAGCATTTTGTGATGGCCCTTGCCCTCCCAAAATTAGAGAAATGTATATACAAGATGCAAGGTAACAAAATCAAATACAGTAACAACAGACATATACTACAGAAAAGAAAAGAAGAAAAAAATCGCATGGTACATTAAAAACAACAACAAAGAAAAATATCTTGTGTCTGTATCTTGTGCCTCATTTTGTTAGCATCATGTTGTTGTTGGTACACTTTTGTTAGTTTTATTACAAAATATCACTAAGAATGACAATTTTCAATCCGGGTATTTTTTTTGGTTTATTCAACTCACTCTGGCACCCAGCCCAGTCACCCCAATATCAACCCTGAACCTCTGACAGGCAATTCCCAGCACACGAACTCCAAAGCCAGCTATGCATGTGAAGGGCTTACTTTAAGGGCTCACCCGCGGTACTGTTCTCAAACCCCAGTGAACCACCACGAAATGAACATCTTCCCACCAGCTCCAGGGTCGCGGCTCCCTACCTTCCAGCTCACTCTCATCCACAAAGGCACAGTCAGGCCAAAGAGCCGACTTTGACAGCAAAGTCTGTGAGGCTTCTATCTCCAGAAAACCAACAGAAATCTGGAGGCAGAATTGTGACACAAATGGTAGAGTGGCAGCCCTAAGGAGAGGAGTGGAGAGGAGAGAGTCAGGGAGGACACCAAGGCCTTGAGTTCAAGTCCCAGGATTGGCACACACACACATTACAAGTGGAAATACAAAGGAGAGAAAGCTAAGGCATTGGATGACCCTTCCTGGCAATACACCCACCATCACCCTGAAACACCCCCCGGACCCCAGGGAAGCCGTTCCTCCAAACCTCCGTGTCCCCTCCAGACCAGCCAGACACCTAAGGGACTCACCTCAGACAAAGCCCGCCGCCCTTCCTCTCAGCAGCACACCTGCGCAAACCCCACTGCTTCCTGCACCCCGTGTGCTGGGGTCTGGCCGTCCTGCAGGCTCCACGCCGGGCAAGGCACGGGAGGATCCGCTGCCCGGCCTGACAGCAACCATGGCGGAGCCAGGCGCCAAAAGACCGCGGAGGCCGCATGGGGCGGCACAGCCAGGCCCCAGCCCCAGGAAGGACGTCCACAAGTTCCCGCTGCACACAAGGCCTTGCGGGCTTTCCTGAGAGGCCTCCCTTCCCCACGGCTGCCCTTCCTCATCGCTTCCCCCAGGACAGCACCTCAGCGCCAACTTCTCTGCTCCAGACCCCTGTCTCTCCCAGAAGCTGCAACGGCGGTCCCGGAGGGGCTGAATTGCCAGTCTGAGCATGCGCACCAGCCATCCTCCCACTGCGCATGTCCATGTGCGGCTCCAGAGGGGCTCAGGCCTTGTCTCAAAATCTAAGGCCCTGGGGTTAAGAGTCGCTGAAACTCAGAACCCAGATTCCTAAATCACAAAGATCACAGGCCTGTGCCTCAGATGGCCAGCTCACAGCGTCTTTTTCATACAGATTTTGATGAATTTCCTTATGTTTTCTTTATAGATACACACACACACACTCAAATATATATTAATCTATTTTTAATCAATGGTATATTTACACACAATTATATATTTATATATTGATAAGCAATGTTCTATAAGCATTTTCCCCAAAAATGTTTTAGTACCCAGGTATTCTGTGACTTAGGCCTTGCCCTGGGCTCTTTGTTTACAATTATTTTTCAGACCAACTGTTGAGTTTTGGCCTCTGACTGGCATTCAATTTCAAGTTCCTCATTTCTGTCTTCCCAGTTGCTCTGATTGATTAGAAGTGTGCAGCTCTACCACCAGGTTTACAAAACAACAATTATATAAATACAATAGTTCTTGAAACACCAGTAGAAATGCAGAAGTCATGTACCATATCTCGGAGGTATGCATGATGGAGAGCTCACATTTTATATAAACTTGAATCCCTAGACTCAGATTGTAAAGCTAATTGGGTAGCACTTCAGTAGCTTGTATATGTCTGGGTTCCAGACTCAAACAACAACAAACAACACTCCAGGATCTTCAATTGTCTCAAGCTGACAAAATTCTTTTCTTGTCACATTGAAGTCAGACTTCAAACCTTTGCTATGAACCATTTATGTGATTTCTTAGAAAATCAGGTTTAAAAAAGATTCCTGACTGCATGCTGTGGATCTCGCCTGTACTGCTAGCTAGTCAGGAGGCTAAATCCAAGGATCATGGTTCAAAGCCAGATCAGGCAGGAAAGTCCATGAGACTCTTCTCTCCAATTAAGCACCAAAAAATGGAAGGGGAGCTGTGACTCTAAGTGGAAGAGCATTAGCCTTGTGCAAAAAAAGCTCAGAGACAGTGTCCACAACATGATTTCCAGCTCCACAACCAAACGGAAAGAGGAAATGTGAGAGAGAGACAGAGACAGAGACAGAAAAAGAGACAGAGACACACAGAGACAGAAACAGACAGAGATTGACAGAAATAGAGACAGACAGACAAACACAGAAAAACAGACAGGAAGACTGAGAAATCACTGACAACTCCATTTAGAAAAATGTATATGGATATCTAAGATGTATATCCTATTCTTCCACAATTCACTACATAGTACCACCTCATCCTGATCCACATTTGGCTACTTGGAATCTATTTGGTGTTTCATAAATTATTCCACATGCTCCCATAGAACATAAACAGGCCCACACCTACTCACCAATGGTTTATTATAAGTCTGGCCTTTTTGCTTAAATATGTAATATTCCCATTTGTATGTTTTTCTGCTTCCATGGATTAAAGCTACCATTCCCCACATTTCACATCTAGATGTCTTCTTCTTTTGTGCCAGTAGTGGAATATGAACTCAGGGCCTTAAGCTCCTGCTCACTTTTTGTTCCATGCTTAAACATGTAACTTCAACCATGCTATGAGTTCCTGACTTTTGCTGGCTCATTGGATAAGTCTTTCAGATTTGTCTACAGGGGCTGATTTGAACCTTGAGGAAGTATAGGGCATTCTTGAAGCTACAATTATTGAGATGGGCCAGGACACCTGGCATGTCTTTGTCCCTCTGGCTAAGTCTTCTGTCTTCTATTGATGATGGCTGTTACCTATTTCCTATGTATTTTGTCAAATACTTTTCCCTCAAAGTAACATTTTGGTGGTATTTTGAGGTGAAATGTCCTTACATATTTGCACAGAGCAAAATGGGTGTGCGTACAGACTTGAATTCACTAATGGAAGAAAGTCGCACATACAGAACATTTAGTCTGGCATAAGTCTCAAAAGACAGAAAAACTTTCAAGGACATCTGGTTTGCTATGTCCTAGAACTTTAGTAATGGCCTGATCACCCCATGCAGGCATGGGTTGAGTTCCTTGCCCCTACAGTGCACTGAACAGTTCCCTTCATAGCCAGTAAGTGTTGTTAGACAGCTCCAGGTCACTATTTTGCCTTTACTCAGGACTCATGTGTCTGGGACATCAGAATGTATAAGAAAACAAACCACAGCATTTAGCCTCCATAAATTGTACAACATAAACATATATATTTAATAAATTTAGAAGAATAAAAAGAATGAACATTTTACAACAATCAGGACAAAAAGAAAAAGACAGATATACCCAGAGAGAGGGGAGGGAAGCTCTAAGTCTAGGTTGGCTTCTAATTTGCCTTCAAACATAAATTCTGCCTCAGAATCCTCCAAGGGATCTACCTCCTCATGAAAGATTGGAGTTGCTCCTGCAATTGCCAGAGGAGGCAGATTCTAATTTCTCTGTTGGAGATTGGTTCTGCTGCAGCAGGACTGATTTGTCCACATATTTTTTGAGGACAGATTCACTTTCCTGAGCTGCATCTAACTTTGGGACCTCACTTATTGGTTCCCCTGAACACAGACTGGGGACATTTTCCATCAGCCCCACGTATGCTACTCCCTCCAGCACACCAGGAGGAGTGCTGATTTGACCCTTTATAAGCTGATCTGGGCCGCCTGTGAAAGTCAGAGGAAGACAATCACTATTACTTTCTTCTTTCTTTGGGGTCCCTACAAGTTCAGCTCTGTCACATGTGGGGTTCAGAACCAGTGTCTTATCCACAGGACTCACAACTTTTTGGGGCCTGACTGCAAATGCATCCAACCCCTCTACATGCACATGCTTTGTGGAGTCCAGTGATGGCTCCAGATCTCCATCCATCACCATCCCTGACATCACCGAGGGCAACTTTCTTGGCAGGTCAGGAGAAGCTGCTCTATGGCAGCCAAAACCTGAGAAAGAGAAATAGGTAAAGGAGTTTGACAGTGGTCTCTGGATGTTCAGGTGGAGTTCAATTTCCATGAGGCTCTAATGGAGGAACCTGTACAAGTTTACTTTGGACTGAACACTGAAGAGAAGGTAAGGTCTTTCCCAAGAGTGGCTAAGCGCAAGTGCTTTCACAAATAGAACCAACACTGCTTGGCAGATAGTATCATAAAAAGACATTCTTACAACCTGGGGGTAATAAGGGCTCTCAGGCAATTAGGATCATCCGTAGAGGCCCAGGCGCCATCCCTACTCACAAGCTCTGAGGTGACCACACAGGGACTTCTTCCTCTGTTTCTTGGTCTCATTCTTCCCGCTCTCCTCCAGCTCATCCAGATGAACGTGGAGATTGAGGACCAGATCTGAGGAGGGCATGTGGAGCATGGCATAGTGGGTCAGTTCTTTCACCGGGTGTCGGTTCTGGGGCTCTCGGAAATCTGCAGGATAGCAGTCCATCCACATGGTGAAGATGGAACAAAGGCTGCTGTGGGCAGATTGGTGACAAGAAGAGTGAGTGCCTGCCCTCCTGATCCTGGGCCTCCCATAGCCCCTTTCTGCAAGCACTGCTATATGCACACTCGCATGTTGGGAACAGGGGTAGACTCCTGCAAGCAGGCTGATGTTCACCACCAAGGTCTAGAAGCTTCTGAAAGATAATTCTCCAATATTCTCACTGTGATAGGTAACAAGAAGGAACTGATTTTGTACACACAGCCCTCCCTGTCATCCCTGAGAGTTCACAACCACACCACAGCTGTGTCCTCTGCCACCACTCCAATCCCAAGCCTCTGCCTCTAGTGGAAAGCACAAGTGATGTGCAAATGAGAAATCTGCACTTTGAATCAGAAGCCTCAAAGATACCATTTTAAACCAAGGGGCCTTTTCTTTGTGCCACAGTCCACTTACTTCTTTGCTTGTCCATCTTCCTCAGAGTTACGGCCCGGGAATCTGTACCTATGGGAGGACAGGAGGAAGTCACCTCTCAGCTTCTCCTTTTCTGCCCACACAGGACACATATGTCATGGGCTCATTCCCATATGGGAATGGAATCTGACACATAAATAAGTGAGATACAGTTCAGTGCAAATTCTGCTAAGAGACTTATATGCATTGGTCCAAGGTAAATGTGACAGTGCTCATGCCTCTAATCCTAGCTAATCAGGAGCATGAGATCTCAGGTGCACAGTCTGATCAGACATTAGTCAGTAAAAGTCTAAGGACATAAATTTTTAAAAGGCCAGAATTGCACTTATGGTTCAAATGCTGTAGTGGTAGCTCTGAGCACCAAAGAAACAGCACCAAGTTGCTGAGTTTAGGTGGAAGGACTAACACACACACAAAAACATAAAAGCTTCAGGGGTTATAAACATGTAAAGCCAACATAATCCCTCCTTGAAATCTCTGAGGTGATTCAGCCTCCAGTTCACCCACCTCCCCCACACCCCAAACTTTCCTGGGTCTACATTATTCACAGACATCCAATTGCTAATGAAACCTTATTTACTCATGGGAAATGTGATTTCCTAGCACCTCACCTAGGTGAGGGCAGAAGTTGGGTGCCATGGGCACATGCCTGTAATACTAGCACCTCAGTAAGCAAGCTTCTGAGGTTCCAGTAGCTTTTCTGGGAAATGTCCTGGGCAGACCGCTACTAAGAAACTATGCAGGGTATGCACTTCTTTGTCTCATGCCAAGCTCCTGTGAGAAGACCCCCATGAAATCAACAGGTTCAGAGGGGTGCCAAGTATTCCACAACTCAGCCAGGAATAGCTGAACCGTCCCGGTTTTGAAGGGGGAACACTCACTTTTTGAACACAATATCCAGCACTTGCTCCATTGTTGCCCACTGTCTATAATTGTGGAGGAAGTTTCCAACATAGAAGAGATCGCCTTTCTGGTAGGCAGGGACCAGGTTCATCACCAGCATGCCCAGCAGGCCTGCCTCCGGGCTCCATATATGGCATGGCACATTCAGGGTGAGGGCTGACGCATTAGCACACTAAGGCGAGACAAAGAATCAGAAAAAAACCATGGAAATGAGACCATTTCCAAACGAGTAATTGTGATAGAGTAGATTGACAACTATGCAGACAGTATTATCTCAGTAAACCCAAATCACATAAGAAGGTTCTACTGTGGACCAGGTTGGGGTTAAGTAGGTTTTCTATCATGAGTATTCCTTGCCTGAGTTGCCTTGTGATTTCCTAGGTTTCTTTTTGGACAAATCTCTGAGATGGTTGGTTCGTGGCTTGCCACTGATCCAGTGTCTACAGCTTTGACTGAGGCACCCATCCTTCTCTTGGCTGAGACCAGAGTCTCGAGACCTGCGAATACAGCACAAGAACATGTTTCTGGCTCCGGAGTCACAGGCCAAGTGAGCTGGCTTGAGCCAACTGTGAGTTACTGTGGCCTGCTATCAGGGTTCCATGTTCTATTCCATTGTGAAGGAGGCAGGGTCACCTGTCAGGCCCAATGACCTCTGCCCCTTCCTTACCCAAGAAATACCCCCCCCCAATATGGCTAAGTGTACATGTAGACAGAGTTAACAGGACACCCTGTTTGTCCAATCCTAATCTGCTAGCCCTAGGTTCTGGCATGTTCTCTGCTTCCAGGAGTCACTCCTAGGTCACATTCATGGCATATCTGTCACTATTCCTCTTATCTGGCTCAAATTATTTTGCCTGTCAGGGCCTTCTGTGACTGCCACATCCTTCTGGCACATATTTTGACATCAACATCCTAGGTCACTGTTTACTTTCTGTAGCCTAATCTGTTTGTCCTTGGAACCCCTCTCTGGTATCATCTGGAGCCAATGCAAATACTTAGAGATCGGAAATTGAAAGGAATATTGGAAAACATACATTACATATATAATCAGCCTTTATTACAGGTGTCTATTTTTTTGGCTATTTCTGTGGCTTCACTTCAGCCTGGGCACTCCCCAGAGCTCTTTTGCTCAAGGGTAGCACTCTACCACTTGAGCCACAGCACCACTTTGGCTTTTTCTGTGTATGTGGTACTGAGGAATTGAACCCAGGTCTTCATGCATGCTAGGCAGCACTCTACCACTGAGCCACCTTCCCAGCCACAGGTGTCCATTTTTGTAAGTGAGAAAATTATGTTTTATACTTGAAATATTTCATGGAGGCAACCAGAGAAAGGAAGAGCTGCTGTATTGTCTTTTTATGATGACTAGGATTTGTTTTACTATAGCTTTCAAGGAATGTAGTATTTAAGGTAGAAAACTGCTCCTTTACGTCTTACAAGCTAATCGTTTATATAGTCATTTGCCTCTGAAGTCTTTGCTTCTGTGTCCCATGATCTATCCTCCTCCCTCAACACAAACGGGAAGAAGAATTTCACACATTGCTGAGCTGTTGTCCAGTCTCTGCATAGGAATTGAAAATACAATATTTACTGTGGTGTGTGTGTGTGTGTGTGTGTGTGTGTGTGTGTGTGTGTGTGCACGCGCATTTCTGATCTTGGACCCTTTGCCTTATTCCTGAGCAATTTTCCTCAAAACTAGTGCTTTACCACCTGAGACACAGTTCCAATCTGAGCTTTTTGTAGTCAGCTGGAGATGAGAGATTCATGGAACTTTCCTACCCAGCATGGACACTGCTCCTCTTCAGCCTCATCTTTCCTCAACAGTGGCAATGGCTGTTCAGTTTCTGGATTTCCCATCTAAGCACAGACACAAGCCATCCTCCACTGCACAAGTCTCTTTGTGTCCTTGAGGGGCTCAAGTCTTCTCTCAAAACTTAGTGCCCTGAGGATAGAACCTCTGAAACTCAGAACCAAGTTTCCTGATTAATTGGGATCACAGGCCTGAGCTATATATGAACAGCTCACTACCTGCCATCGCACATTTTTTGGGGGATGAGGGATTGTTTGTTGGGCTTGAACTCTGGGCCTGTACCCTGTCCCTCAGCTTTTCAGCTCAAAGCTAGGGCTTTACCACCTTGAGGCACAGTACCACTTCTGGTTTTCTGGTTGCTTATTGGGAGATCAGAGTCTCATGGATGTTCCTGCCTGGCTGATTTTCCACTGTGATCCTCAGATCTCAGCCTCTCCAGTAGCTAGGATTATAAGCATGGGCCACCAGCGTCCAGCACATGACCCCTTTTTGCAACAGCATTTGGTGAATTTAACTATGTTGACTTGAGACAGATATACCTACACAATATATGGGAATCAATGGTATATCACTGAATTCCCCAATAATGTCTTTTACATTAATGTTTTGTGAAACAACATATTCGAGACCCACAATATCATATGCTAGTCCTCCTATAAAATACATTCAAATATATGTATTATCATGTAGTATATTATATGATATATTTATATATATTATATTATATATAATATGTAAGTGATGTATATAGTGAACACAGAAAATAATTCCAATTTTGGAATTTAGCCTTTCCTGTCACAATGTTACCCAAGTCTTCTGTTAGACATGCAGATTTTCATCAACAATCTCCCTTGTTAGTCGTTTTTTAGTTCTTGAACAAATGAGTCTTCTTTACCACCAATAGTCTACATACAAAAATGATATGGATCAGTGTCTCTGGCTCAGGCCTGTATTCTTTGCTAGTAAGGAGGCTGAGATCTGAGGATCTTGGTTCAAAGCCAGCCAGGTCAGGAAATGCTATCAGATTATCTCCAGCTGTAGCTCAAAGTGGTAGAGGGCTAGCCTTGAGTGAAAGAACTCAGATACAGTGGCCAGCTTTTAATTTCAAGCACCACCATTCTGTACACACACCCCCTACACGCACACTCTTCACTCGGTCCCTTCTTAAATCCTCTGTCCTCTTCACTGAACTGGTGATTGCCAGAGTTTCTGGATTTCCCACTCCAGCATGCCAACCAGACATGTTCCCTCTGCACATGCACCTCTGCCACACTGCAGGGCCCAGGCCTCCTCTCAGAATCCACTGCCCTGGGATAGAGAGCAGATGAAATTCAAGGATTCTTAGAATGTGTGCTTCAAGACAGGGAGACTCAGAACTGTTCCTCACCTGGTATACAGAGACACATTGATCTATTTGTGTAGAACAATGCCTACATGGTTAGAATATAAGTTTTTGATTACCACAAACGACACCCTTTTCCAAATACTGTTAAATATTCTCTCAGATTTTCTAAAATGTTACATAAAAGTACATCTATTTACATGTTAGAGGTTGTAGCTTCTGATATAATGAACGGGAAAAGGCAGCCAAAATGACTTCTTACAGAGAAAAATGCCTAGCCCAAGTAAGCTAATATGTGCAGCAAGCTCATTTCCAGACCATTCTCCAAATGCAGGCATGAGTCTCTTATTGTGTCATCTTGATAACTTACAGTCCATATCCACCCTCATGAAGGCTCAGAAAATCTTCATGAAAACTCAACGCAAGGAACATCTTAAGAAAATAAAACAGCACCAAATAGTTAATTCTAGCTTTAAACATTTATATGTTTTATATTTGCACAGTGCAGAATTGTTCATGGTTGGCAGAGAGCTTCAAACATCAACACATTTACCCGACTAGCTGGAAAGGGGAAGTTATCCCTAGAAAGAGGTGGGGGCTTGAGATTCAAGTGGGACCAGCTTTCAAAGACACCTGTTCTGATATAACACAGAGCTTTTGTGTCTCAGCATCAAGGGTCCTATCTCGGCACAGGCTGCATCCTCCACTGCCTGCATTCCTTGTGGCTCCCTCTAGTCACCTGTTCCTTGTAAATCCAGCAGATTTGTTCCCCAGATCCAGCACACTCTGCTTCCTCCCAATCAGGCCCCATGTGCCCAGGATGTTAGATTGCAGGTAGAAAAGACCAGAGTATTTTGTATTCAAGAATTTTACAACATCATGTAAACGTGGACATTTTAATACTGTTAAAACAATAAATAGTAAAACAGGCAAATGCCCAGAGAGGAGGGAGGCAAGGTCTAACACACACACACAAAAAGATTCCCTGACTGGACACTGTGGATCATGCCTGTACTGCTAGCTAGTCAGGAGTCTAAATGGGAGGATCATGGTTCATAGCCATATCTGGCAAAAAAGTCCTCTTCTGTCCAATTAACCACCAGAAAACTGGAAGGGGAGCTGTGACTCTAAGTTGAAGAGCATTAGCATTGTGCAAAAAAAGCTCAGAGACAGGTCCCACAACATGAGTTCAAGCTCCACAACAAAACAGAAGAGAGGAAGAGACAGAGAGAGAAAGAGAGAAAGAGAGAGAGACAGAGAGAGACAGAGAGACAGAGACAGAGGCAGAAAGACAAACACAAGAAAACAGACAGGAAGACTGAGAAATCCCTTACCACTCCAATTAGAAAGTGAATATGGATATCAAAGATGTATTTCCTATTCTTCCACAATTCACTACATAGTACCACATCATCCTGATCCACATTTGGCTAACTAGAATCTATTTGGAGTTTCATAAATCATTCTACACGCTCCCATAGAACAGGCCCACACCTACTCACCAATGGTTTGTAAGTCTGGCCTTTTTGCTTAAATATGTAATTTTCCCATTCGTATGTTTTTCTGTTTCCATGGTTTAAAGCTACCATTGCCCACATTTCATGTCTAGATGTCTTCATCTTTTGTGCCAGTAGTGGAATTTGAACTCAGGACATGGAGCTCTTGCTTACTTTTTGTTCCATTCTGAAACATGTAACTGCAGCCATGCTATGAGTTCCTGACTTTTGCTGGCTCATTGGATAAGTCTTTCAGATTTTTCTACAGGGGCTGATTTGAAGCTCCATCCTGAGGAAGTATAGAGCACTCTTGAAACTAGAATTATTGAGATGGGCCAGGACACCTGGCATATCTTTGTCCCTCTGATTAAGTTTTCTTTCTTCTACTGATGATGGCTTTTACCTATTTCCCATGTATTTTGTCAAATACTTTTGCCTCAAAGTAGCTTTTTGATGTTATTTTGAGGTGAAATGTTCTTACATATTTGCACAGAGCAAAATAGGGGTGTGTACTGACTTGACTTCACTAATGGAAGAAAGTCCCCCATTTAGTACATTTAGTCTGACAGAACAACTTTGAAGGACATCTGGTTTGTTATGTCCTAGAGCTTTAGTAGTGGCCTGATCACCCCATGCAGGCATGGGCTGGGTTCCTTGCCCCTTACAGTGCACTGAACACTTCCCTCTATAGCCAGTTAGTGCTCTTGGACAGCTCCAGGTCACTCTGTCTTTTGCCCTTACTCAGGACACATGTGTCTGGGACATCAGAATGTACATTAAAAAACGCACAGTATTTAGGTTCCATAAATTGTACAACATAAACATACATCTTAATGAATTTAGAAGAATAAAAAGAATGAACATTTTACAACAATCAGGACAAAAAGAAAAGAGAGATATCCCCAGGGAGAGGGGAGAGAAGCTCTAAGTCTAGGCCGGCTTGTAAGTTGCCTTCAGACATAAATTCTACCTCAGAATCCTCCAAGGGATCTACCTCCTCATGAAAGATAGGATTTGCTCCTGGAGTTGAGAGAGAGGCAGATTCTAATATCTCAGTTGGAGATTGGCTCTCCTGAAGCAGGACAGATTTGTCCTGATGTTCTGTGAGGACAGATTTACTTTCCTGAGCTGAATCTAACGTTTGGACCTCACTCATTGGTTCCCCTGAACACAGACTGGGGACATTTTCCATCAGCCCCACGTGTGCTACTCCCTCCAGCACAAGAGGAGGAGTGCTGATTTGACCTTTTATGAGCTGATTTGGGCCGCCTGTGAAAGTCAGAAGAAGACAATCACTATTACCTTCTTCTTTCTTTCATCTCCGTCACATATGGGGTTAAGAACCAGTGTCTTATCCACAGGACTCACAACCCGTTGGGGCCTCACTGCAAATGCATCCAACCCCTCTACATGCACATGCTTTGTGGAGTCCAGTGATGGCTCCAGACCTCCATCCATCACCATCCCTGACATCACCGAGGGCTTCTTTCTTGGCTGCTCTATGGCAGCCAAAGCCTGAGAAAGAGAAATAGGTAAAGGAGTTTGACAGTGGTCTCTGGATGTTAAGGTGGAGTTCAATTTCCATGAGGCTCTAATGGAGGAAGCTGTACAAGTTTACTTTGGACTGAACACTGATGAGAAGGTATTTCCAAACAGTGGCTAAGATCAACTCCTTTCACCAATAGAACAAACATTGCCTGGCCCAGAGTATCATACAAAGATATTCTTACAACCTGGGGGGTAATAAGGGCTCTCAGGTAATTAGGCTCATCCCTAGAGGCCCAGGCGCCATCCCTACTCACAAGCTCTGAGGTGACCACACAAGGACTTCTTCCTCTGTTTCTTGGTCTCATTCTTCCCGGTCTCCTCCAGCTCATCCAGAAGAATGTGGAGGTGGAGGAGCAGGTCCGAGGAGGGCATGCGGAGCATGGCATAGTGGGTAAGTTCTTTCACCGGGTGTCGGTTCTGGGGCTCTCAGAAATCAGCAGGATAGCAGTCCATCCACATGGTGAAGATGGAACAAAGGGTGCTGTGGGCAGATTGGTGCCAAGAAGAGTGAGTGCCTGCCCTCCCTATCTTGGGCCTCCCATAGCCCCTTTCTGAAAGCACTGCTATATGCACATTTGCATGCTGGGAAGCAGGAGCAGACTCCTGCTAGCAGGCTGATCTTCACCACCCACATCTAGAAGCTTCTGAAAGATAATTTTCCAATATTCTCACTGTGATAGGTCACAAGAAGGAACTGATTTTGTACACACAGCCCTCCCTGTCATCCCTGAGAGTCCTCAACCACACTACGGCTGTGTCTTCTGCCACCACTCCAATCCCAAGCCTCTGCCCCCTAGTGGAAAGCACAAGTGGTGTGCAAATGAGAAATCTGCACTTTGAATCAGCAGTCTCAAAGATACCATTTTGAACGAAGGGGCCTTTTCTTTGTGCCACAGTCCACTTACTTCTTTACTTGTTCATGTTCCTCGGAGTTACGGCCCGGGAATCTGTACCTATGGAAGGACAGGAGGAAGTCACGTCTCAGCTTCTCCTTTTTGCCCAAACAGGACACAGATGGGATGGGTTCATTCGCAGATGGGAATGGAATCTGACACATTAACAAGTGAGATATGTCTATACAGTTCAGTGAAAATTCTTCTATGAGAGGTATATGCATTTGGTCCAAGGTAAATGCGCCAGTGGCTAATACCTCAAATTCTAGCTCATCAGGGACATGAGATCTCAGGTGCACAGTCTGATCAGACATTAGTCAGTAAAAGTCTAAACAAACTAATTTTTAAAAGACCAGAATAGCACCTATGGTTCAAATGCTGTAGTGGTATCTCTGAGCACCAAAGAAACAGCAATCAGGCCATGAGTTCAGGTTGCAGGACTGGCACACACACAAAATCATAAAAGCTTCAGGAGTTATAAATATGTAAAGCCAACATAATCCCTCCCTGAGGTCTGTGAGTCAGCCTCCAGTTCACCTGCCTCCCCCACACCCCAGACTTTCCTGGGTCTACATTATTCACAGACATGCAATTCCCAATGAAACCTTATTTACTCATGGGAAATGTGATTTCCTAGCACCTCACCTAGGTGAGGCCAGAAGTTGGGTGCCAGTGGCACATGCCTGTAATAACAGCCCCTCAGTAAGCAAGCTTCTGAGGTTCCCGTAGCTTTTCTGGGAAAAGTCCTGGGCAGACCACTACTAAGAAAGTAGGCAGGGGGTGCACTTCTTTGTCTCATGCCAAGCTCCTGAGAAAAGACTCCCATGAAATCACCAGGTTCAGAGGGGTGCCAAGTATTCCACAACTCAGCAAGGAGGGGCTGAACAGACCAAGATGCAAACGAAGGGGGAACACTTACTTTTTAAGCACAATAGCCAGCACTTGCTCCATTGTCCCCCACTGTCTATAATTGTGGAGGAAGTTTCCAACATAGAAGAGATCGCCTTTCTGGTAGGCAGGGACCAGGTTCATCACCAGCATGCCCAGCAGGCCTGCCTCCGGGCTCTATATATTGCATGGCACATTCAGGGTCAGGCCTGACTCATTGGCACACTAAGGTGGGAAAAAGAATCAGAAAAAATGATGATAATGAGAACACTTCCAAATGAGTAATTGTGATAGAGTGGATTGAAATCTATGCAGAAAGCATTATCTCAGTATAGACAAATCACCTAAGAAGGTTCTCCTGTGCACTGCATGAAGCCCTGGATTTGATTCCTCAGTATCACATAAACAAAAAAAGTCTGAAGTGGTGCTGTGGCTCAAGTGGTAGAGGGATAGCCTTGAACAAAAGAGGCTCAGGGACAATGCCCAGGTCCTGAGTTCAAGCCCCCAGGACCAGCAAAAAAAAAAAGAATAAATCGAGGGGTGATGTCAATAGTACCTCCCTGTGAGAATACAAGATTCTTTCCAACCCTCCTAGATGGGGAGAAAGTAAGTCACAAGTGAAAAGAGGGCAGAGAAAAGAGGAAGGCCAGGAGGGAATTTTTAATGCATTACCTGTGTTAATGGAATAGGATTGATTTCTTCATCTACAATGAATGGCTCTGGCCTGGGGAAGACCTGGACGTCAGCGGTCAGGTGGCCACACTTGAGCACAGCATGGAAAGGCGTATATGCCAGGTCTATCAGCTTTCTAGAAGATGATCATGACTTGTTAAGGGAGGAAGAGTTCACATGTGGTACACATAAAAGGACTGTACACATGAAAGTAACATTTCAAGATGTAAAGCTGGTTAAACCTTCGCACTGATTCCAAAAGTAAATATACTTGTGAAACGGAAAACATTTTGATGTTTTTAAAGAGGAAATTTCAATTGAGAGAGAAACCCCAGAGCAAGGTAAACTTGGGAACAGCTGAGTCTTTTTAAAGCATGACCACCTTATTTTACCTGAGAAACGGGCAACTGTGGGAAAATGGACTCACACTGTTAGAAATAATACAGTAACTGAGAGGTCGCCGAAATAGCTCAGTTGGGAGAACATTAGACTGAAGAAATAATACAGTAACTGTTCTTCTTGGTTGTCAAATTATAATATCAGATTGTAAAGAAGCCCCCACCCCCCACCCCTCAAAAAACAACTTTAAGGCATATACTCACCCAAACATAGACTGCACGTTTTTCAAGCACAGGGGGCCATCACTAGTAAAAATTTGCCTTTCACCATTGTTGAGGTCTATGAGACGTTCAAGGCATTCCAGGAAATCGGTGCTCTGAAGCTACAAAGCAAGAGAGGACACCTTTAAAGTAGAACAAATCACCACATCACTACCAGCACACCAAGGCCACAGCCACTGTAACAAAATGGCCAATAAACGGTTTGTTTGGTTTATTCTTTTGGTTCGGGTACTGGGGCTTAAACTCAAGGCCTTACACTTTTTTTTTTGTCCGTTGCAGGGCTTTAACTCAGGGCTTGAATGCTGTCCCTGAGCCTCTATGTATTCAAAGCTAGTACTCTACCACTTTAGCCTAGAGCTACTTCCAGTTTTTTTGAGTCGTTATTTGGAGATAAGAGTCTCAAGACTCAAGTCTCAAGTGGAGCCACAGCTCCACTTCCAGCTTTTTTGGTAGTTTTGGTAGATATGAGTCTCATGGACTTTCCTGCCCAGGCTGGCTTTGAACCATGATCTTCAGATCTCAGCCTCCTGAGTAGCTAGGATTATGGGTGTTGAGTCCGTGAGATGATTTTCTTAACAGTCAATATCAGAAGGAAGTAACTACAGGGGCTGGGAAGGTGGCTCAGTGGTAGAGCGCTTGCCTTGCATGCATGAGGCCCTGGGTTCAATTCCTCAGCACCACATAAGCAAAAAGAAAAAAGCCGGAAGTGGTACTGTGGCTCAAGTGGTAGAGCGCTAGCCTTAAGCTGAAGAGCTGAGGGACAGCACCCAGGCCCAGAGTTTAGGCCCCACGACCGGACCCACCCCCCCGCCAAAAAAAAATACAAATAAAGAAGGAAGTAACACAACAATTGTTCTGTGTGTGTGCCAGTTCCTGGGCTCAATTCCAGAGCCTAGGTGCTGTCCTTGAGCTTTTTGCTCAAGGCTAGCACTCTACCACTTGAGCCACAACTCCACTTCCAGATTTTTTTGTAGTTTAGTGGAGATACTGAGTCTCATGGACTTTCTTACCTCAACTATTGCAATCTGCCTCAAGGTTACAAGAGGTACTTCATTCATAAGTAGTTCTGCAGATTCTCAGGAGACCACAGTTAGTAGCCATACAGCATCTTCCCTACAACCTCTTCCTGACATGGTTTGGCAAGAGCCATCAATTATCAGCATTTTAGAGAGAGAAAAACTGAGGTAAAGTGAAATAATTCCTGACTCAATGGGAAAAGCAGGAAGTATTTAATAAAACACATCAGAAGCCAGGTGCTGGTGGCTCATGCCTGTAATCCTAGCTACTCAGGAGGTTGAGAGCTGAGGACGGCAGTTTGAAGCCAAGCCTGAGTAGTAAAATCTGTGAGATCTTCAGCTCTACTAAACTACCAAAAAAGCCAGAAGTGGAGCTGTGGTTCAAAACGGTAGAGTGCTAGTCTTGAGCAAAAAGCTCAGGGACAGCACCCAGCCTTTGATTTTAAGTCCCAATACCAGCACCACAACAAACAAACAAAAAGACCTATGCTCCCCCCTTCCAAAAAAAGCCCCCCCCCAAAAAACAAAAACAAAACCTAAAGTATACTTCTGTCAACATTTCTGGAGGAATGGACAGAAAAAAAAGAACATCTCAAGCCTCATGGTCATCAGCAGAGTGGGCATCTCCAGCTATACTCTTGGAGAGGTGAGTGTTGTTGTCAAAGAGCATGTGAAATCAAGTCTTTTCAAATCTAAATGTTATACGGTACGCAAGAGTGTTCATTGAATATACTGACAAATAAACCGAGCCCTGGGAATTACCTAACCCATCTAAAAAGCAGTTAGCAGAAGGCCATTACCTCTTCCAGGTTTGCCATGCACATGATGTATAACTTAGACGGGAAAGGGAAAGGCAGCGGGAACCTGTTGCTGTCGCTCCTTTGATTGTGTGTCGCTAGGGAATGTCGCAGGGACCCTCTACCAATGCCGAGACAGCCGTCCGTCACCAGAACGACCTGTGTGCAGAGGACAAGTATCCATTAAGCCACATGCCCAACAGCTCCACCCAGGTTTGCTTTCACTGCTACAGGAATGTGCAGGGAGCTTTGTGGGGTGATGGGTATGTTCTAGGTCTTAATTGGAGTAAGGATATACATACATGCTTCCATTTGTGAAAATCTAGCAAACTGTGTGATTTATTTGTTTGTTTATGTGCTGGTCTTGGGGCTGGAACTCAGGGCCTTGGCTCTATTTGTGAACTACTTTGCTCAAGACTGGTGTTCTTCCACTAGAGCCACACCTCTACTTTTGCCTTTTTACTGGTTAGCTGGAGATAAAAGTCTCACAGACTTTCCTGCCCAGGCTAGCATCAAACCATGATCTTCAGATCTCTGCCTCTTGAGTAGGTAGGATTACAAGCATGAGCCCCTGATGCCTGGCTTATTGTTTTTAATTGTCTTTTTTTTCTCTTGGCAGTCATGGTACTTGAACTCAGGGCCTGGGTGCTATCCCTGAGCTCTTTTTGCTCAAGGCTAGCACTCTACCACTTTGAGTCACAATTGCACTTCTGGTTTTCTGATGGTTAATTAGAGATAAGAGCCTCATAGACTTTCTTGCTGGGCTGACTTTGAACCTGGATCCACAGATCTCAGCCTTCTAAGTAACTTGGATTATACATGTCATCCACTGGCCCCGGCTAAAATTATCTTTAACTAGTTATACCACAGGGTTTTAATTCAATGTCAACTGATATGTAGAATACACTTGATCAAAGTGTCAACCTTTCTATCATTTTTCCATGTACTCCAAACTTACCCATCTGAAGTTTTCTAGTCCCAGTTTCAATATGTACATTGAATATTATGACTGTTTTTGTCCACCATTCTTTCTCTCTCTCTCTGCTCTCCTTAACATCCATTCTCAT